GAGACCTCGGCCCACCCTGAGGAACTATGTGACTCCTTGGAGCCCCACTCACTAAAGGGGTCACTCCCAAGGGTCAGGACACAGGCCGGGGCAAAGTCCAGCCTTGCGATGTGTGGACCTGTGGTAAGCAGCAGATAATGTGACATCTCTGTGAACAGGAACATGGTTATGTGGGTTCTGCTCATGCTTCCATTCTCAACACTTCTGCACAACATAGGCACTGGCCCACGGGATCTCCCCAGGCACTATGTCCGGCCAAAGGTGGCATCTCTAGCTCATTGCAACGAGCTAGATAAGGGTTTTACTGAGATGAAATGTAAGGAAAACCCCATGCTTCTTAGGAGCCTCTCTCTGCTCCTCCAGATTAACCAAAACCCAACAACCTAAGCAGAGCCAGAGAGAGAAAGTGGGGTGATCTCACGGACACGCATACATTCTGTGCACATTTCTTTGCCACTATTCCCTCTCTCAATAGAAAAATATTGTTTGATTTTTGGAATTAGACCATGTTCCCTCAGTTTTCCCAGGCTAGTAGTGGGTTATCCCCAGCGCAAGTGCAAACATGGCGCGAGGTGGACTGGCAGCACACGGGTAGCATATAGATCTGACATCAGGGTTTTACTGTCAAACACAGAACATATGATGGACATGGCATCGAAAGCATCAGGTTGGCTTTCCATTGCTGATAATTATCTCCTATCTTCCAACACACTCACCTCCCAGGCATACAGCACGTGCCTTAATCCCAGCTGTTTGTAGTCAATGAAAGGGTTATTTCTTAGGTGGGAGAGGGCCATGTTACAGTCATACAGAGCCTCTTCATACCTGCAGTACACAATGGTACAGATGAAGATTAGAACTGAGTCCCCAAAGTGCACAGGAAAGTATCAAGCTCAGGAACCAGACTAGCAAAAACGATTCTCCTCTTCCCAACAGCCTGGGTTACAGGAAGCATCACTGGAGAAATGTATGGTGTCGTCTACATTGGGATTAATCTGGTGAAGCAGGTTTTACCCACGAAAGCTTATGTCCTAATAAATCTGCAAGTCTCTAAGGTGCCACAGGACTCCTTTTTGTATTTGCAGATACAGACTAACATGCTCCCCCTCAGACTTTTCAGATGTGTATGGTTAAACATGCACATGGAAAAAGGCCCCACAGTCACAGAGGGGCCTGCCTGCTCTGGGCTGGTGCAGAGATGGTGTGTGGAAAAAGAAAAGATGGCAAGGGCAGCCAAGCCCCATCAAGAACCAGAGCTGGCCTGCCCTTAACCAGTGATAAAGATGGCCCTGCCAGCAGCTGATGTCGTGGAACATGGGTACAAAGAAATAACAGTGTGGAAATGAGCACATGCAAGCTGTTCCCAGGGATGCTTAGGACGCAGAGCAACTGGCTCTCATGCAGCCTACTTAGGTGGGGTACTGAAAGCAGACTGGGGGAGAGGGCTCACAGTGCAGCATGACATCTCTCTGTGGAGGGCCAAAGGACGCAGGTCGGTGGCACATGCCCAAGAGAAGTGAGAGAGACAGGAAGCAGGAGGGCCTTCCTCTCCTGGAAAGCCCAGAAGATAACATGAGTGGTGGATAATCCCACCCACTCATGAGTGCAGCGATACCCATCTCTTCCTGCCAGCCATAGTTCAAGAGGTCTTATCCATTGGGGACACCAGCCACGACCAAACTCCAACCTATCAAGGGGGACTCTTATCAGAGATGGAGATGGTGCAACAGAGGCTCTAAGTGCAGTCTTCATCCTTGACAGCCACTAGGATGTGGCTCAAACCATCGGTCCCAGATGAGCAAGTGGATATGTTTGCTTTTAGCCTGTTTCATAATATCAGAACACGGGGTTACTTTCTGAGATGAAGGACTGGAAAATATAGAACATCTAATTGAAGTTATAGATGAAAAGACCTATGAGACCATCCAGTCCATATAAAAATACAACAGCTCATTCTGATCTCACTGCTACTGGTGGACAGCAGAAGTAAATCCAGAATGGCCAGTGGAGTTATACCTGCATACAGTTGCTGAGATTACAATTAGACCCAGAGCACATCATCTCCACCTCTGGATTTCACTGCCACGGGAGGGCAGACAGTCTGATATTGTGTGTGGCTTTTAGAAAGGCCCAGATAGTTTTGTGACTGTAATATCGACAGTCACGTGAGCTCTGCGTATCATATCCCCTTCTCCAGCACAAAAGAGGACTGGATGGCTAATGGTTCTTCCTTGTGTACAGAAGCACACAACCAACTTATTTTAAGTTGTTCTCACTTTGCTTGGAAGCATTACATGTAAATAGCCCTTACGGGGGAGCTGACATACCAGACTTGATAGATCAAGTCTCTGATTTCCTATCGTAACTTCTACATTTCTGGTCTTTACTGAGCAGCTAGAAGATTCTGGATAGATCCTGATACAAGAGTTTTAGAGGGGGGTGTATGTGCAATGGCTACAAGTTATATGGTTGTGTTTTTTAACTTTTGTCTTTGGAGTATTTGAGCCCACATATAATGCAGTGTGGTAATCAGAGTCTGCATTATGTTCCTTGCTATGCCACTGGTTCACTGTGAGGCCTTGAGGAAGTCACTTCCCCTTTCTAAATCTCAGCCTCCCCAACTAGAACATGGAGACTATACTGACCTAACTGAGAAAGAGCTTGAAAAAAACTTAAAAACCAACAAATAATCTAGCAGCACCTTAAAGACTTAACAAAATATGTAGATGGTATCATGAGCTTTCATGGGCACAGCCCACTTCTTCAGAAAGATCATGTGAGGCTTAACTTCTATTTGCAAAGCGCTGTGAGCACTCTGGACAAAATGCACTGCAGAAGTGTGAAATATCATTACAGAGAAGGAGGCAAAGGGTGAAATGGACAAGCATTACACTTACATTTCTAACTGCAGACAGACAAATCCTCTTTGAAAGTATCCAACAGCTAGATGGTTGTCCTTGGTAACTGTTTTATCAAAGGCCTAAGAAGAAAAATACAGACATACACCGCAAGTTATTTAAACTACAGAACAGAGTAGTGCTAGACAGATATGATTGCAAGGCATTTGTTAGAGCTCTGGAAGGGCACAGCTGTTCCTGGGAGGGAGGCAGTGGAGAGGAGAAAAATAGAGCCCTGACTGAGCACCTCTGGATCCAGCCCTGTGTAACCCATTAGTGATATGCAGCAGATTAGAGCCATTCCCAGGAAAAAGTGATGGAATGTCCCGACAATAACCCTGCTGGAAATCAGGATTATGGAATACAGCTCTAGGCTCCTGTAATCTGAAGGCTTGTTTGCCTGAAGCACAACTGGCTGTTCATACCTGGAAGCACTTGCATGGCCTGTTCTTGGCCACTGCCAGCAGACCTAGGTGAGCTATGGAGAGCATCATGTTGGGTCCCACACAGATTGAGACAGGATCATTGAAAACAGGTGGGCTGCGTCTAGACTGGCAAGTTTTTCCGCAAAAGCGGCTGCTTTTGTGCAAAAACTTGCCAGCTGTCTATACTGGCCGCTTGATTTTGTGCAAAAGCACTGACGTTCTACTGTCCGAAATCAGTGCTTCTTGCGCAAATGCTTTGACGTTCCCGTTCGGGCAAAAGCCTTTTTCCGGAAATGTTTTTGTGCAAGAGGGCCAGTTTAGACAGCTAAAAACTGTTTTGCGCAAGAAACCCCCGATGGCGAAAATGGCGATCGGGGCTTTCTTGCGCAAAACCGCGTCTAGATTGGCACGGACGCTTTTCCGCAAAAGCAGTTTTTGCGGAAAAGCGTCCGTGCCAATCTAGATGCTCTTTTCCACAAGTGCTTTTAACGGAAAAACTTTTCCATTAAAAGCATTTGCGGAAAATCATGCCAGTCTAGACGTAACCGTGGTGTTGAGGAGAGGGTGGATATGGAGTAGAGAATGGAAAGATTCCTCACCATACACAGAAAAGTCAGTGTTCCTGTTTATATTAAACCCACTGCTAGGCCTACTTTCCAAACGAGAAAAGGGAGCCACTGCATAGCTGTGGTAAACTTAGTTCATGGGAGTGGTTGTCAAATCAGAACCCCATCCTGGGCTCTATCTCAGCTCTGGGATCTAGCGGGTTACAGCAGAGGCAGATACATTTGGGTTCCATATAAAGAACATCAGAATGGCCATACTGGGTAAGACCAATTTTCCATCTAACCCAATATCCTTTCTGCTAACAGTGGTCAATGCCAGGTGCTTCAGAAGGCATGAACAAGTCAGGGAATCATCAAATGATCTATCCCCTGTTGCCCATTCCCAGCTTCTGGAAAAAGTAATAGAAACTCGGGACACCATCCCTGCCCATTCTGGCTAGTAGCCATTGAGGGACCTATCTCCTTGAACTTATTTTGTTCTTATTGGAACCCTGTTATAGTTTGATCCTTTTCACTACCTCCCGGCAAACAGTTCCACAGGTTGAGCATGAAGAGAGAACTTGTTTTGCTTGTTTTAAATCTGTTGCCTATAAATTTCACTGGGTGAGTTTCTTGTGTTATGTGAAGGAATAAATAACATTTCCTTATTCTATGTTTCCACACCATTTATGATTTTCTAGATCTCTAACATATCCCCCGACCCATCAGTCATTTATTTTCAAGCTGAAAAGACCCGGTCTTGTTAATATCTCCTCATAAGGAATTCCATCCTCCTACACATTTTTCTGTCTTAATCTCTACCCCTTTCTTAACCATTCCCAACATTCTGTTAGCTTTTTTGACTGCTTCTGCACACTGAGTGGATGTTTTCAGAGAACTATCCACAGTGACTCTAAGATCTCTCTCTTAATTGGTAACAGCTAATTTAGACTCCATCATTTTATATGTATATAGTTGGGATTACATTTTCCAGTGTGCATTATTTTGCATGGTGAGACTAAAATAGTAATCCAAGTATCAGAGGGTTAGTCATGTTGGTTTGTATATGAAAAAATAATGAGAAGTCCTGTGGCACCTTAAAGAGTAACAGATTCATTTGGGCATAACTTTTCATGGGCAAAAACCCACTTCTTCAGATACATGGAGTGGAAGTTACATAAATAATGAATAAATAAGTAATATTTATAAATAATGAAAATTTATGTCTGCCTCTGTAATTTCCACACCATGCATCTGAAGAAGTGAGTTTTTGCCCATGAAAGGTTATGCCCAATTAAATCTTTAAAGTGCCAGAGTGACCTAGGAGCACAGACTTGCTACTGGCTTGGTGTTATCTAATTACAGAACATACCACTAGTTTGGGGTGTCTGCACTTTTTTCTGACAGTCTGACCTGAGATTGGCCTCTCAGTTGTAACCCGCTCTGAGCGCTGTGGCAATTATATATATTTACTCTTAAAAGAGCCACTAGCAATTCGTGGGCACACTGGAAAAATTACCAAGATTTTTCCATGTAACAAATCTAAGATTTTTCAGTGATCAAGGTCATTACTGATGGAGGGTAGAGAAGAAACAAAACATAAGAAAAATGGCTTGTTCTCAGACTCTTAAGCAGGAATAGAATTAGATTTGTCAGGTAATCGTAAATTCCTCTGAAATATGTATTGTAAGGTTCATTCAGTAGCAAAGTATCATTTTCTGTTACCATAGCACAGATAGAATGGGTAATATAAATAATAGTAACTGGCGAATCTCCTAGGAAATACTATAATTGCAGATTTTCACGTTCCATTCAGAGTTGACTGTCCCTATTTTTCCCCAGAGAAAAGTAAACACAGAATATAAGATTCCCTTCCAATATTTTTGACTTGCTTTACTCTCCTTTCATTTACTCACTTGCAAGGCTCCCTCGTGGTTCCCTGTTAAGAGATGCACACAGCCTATGTTGAAATAGATTCTGGAGGACGGCTCTTCAATACTGGAGAAGATTTTCAAGGCAGAGTCCCAGTCCCCCTTATCCGTAGCCAGAGTTCCTTCATGCCAGCCTCTCACTAAGTCTCGATATGCCATTTTGTCTCTGTAGACACAAAGAAACCAGATTCCTCTGAAAAGTCCTTCAGGGTCTGGCTGTCTTGGAAGCTGCCAAAAACCTCACCCAGTTCTTTACTGACAGCCAGGTGCACCTGCCTGGAATTCAGGGCTGACAAGGAAGTCTAGCAGCCTCTAAATCTTATTTTGCTGAAGATTCCCTTTATTACTCAATGGGTTCAGAAACACAACAATTTCAAGGAAATGAGCAAAAGTAGGAGGGGTCAACCTATCTACTGACAGAGAGAGACTGCTTAATCTCTGCTGACAGACAGAGAGTGGCACTTGGGTATAACTGAAAGCAGGCCTGGTCTCAAATCTGTATAAAGCAGTAAAACACAGATTTGTTCATCTGTTGCACTGCTTGCTGAATATTTACTGTATGTCACAAAGAAAAGGTGCAATGTATAAAATCAGGTCTGAAGCAGTAGGGCCAGGTGCTCTCTGCGTGTTGTGCGATGAGGTGCTAAACTTTTGGGCAGTCAGAACCCCCATATTAATACAATCCAAAAACGTGAGCGCCAAAGGACGTGACACGGTGCCCAAAGCTTGACACAAAAATACATTTTAATTCCACATTTCCTCTCTCAAAACGCAGCCTTGTGCCGAGGGCTGGAACACGAGGGCTGCTGCGAAAGCCGAGCCAGGGCTTGCCAAGCCAGCGAGGCTGCGAGCGGCCGCAGTCAGCGCCCCACTGCCTGAGACCGGCCGGGACGGCGCCCGCAGCAAACCCGCCGCCTGGCCGCTAGGGGGCGCTGCAGCGGGCGTCACAGGGAACCCGCCGGGCTGCGGGGAAGGGTTTGGGCGCCGCACCGCAGAGCCCGCCTCTGCTTCCGGTTTCCGGCGTGTGTCAGGTGAGTGGCCGGGGCCGGGGCGTCGCCCTCGGGCAGCGGGTCCCAGCGGCCTGGCCCCGGGCCGCGCGATGGGACGGGCCCGCAGCGCCTCAGCGGGGCCGGGGACCGGCTGCCCGACCCTGCACGCGCCCCCAGCGTCTCGCGAGGGGTCACGTGGCGCGTGTCGGGGCGCCGCCCCCCCGAGTGGGGGCCCGAGGCCCGGGGAGACTCCCTGGGTCCCGCGCGCTGAGCCTGGCGGAAGTGCCCCTCCCCCTCCCGGCGTGTCCCGGTCCGGGGGGTGCGGGCTGCGCGGTCCGGCCGGGCTGATGGGCCTTCGTGTGCGAGCCGCTGGCAGCTCGCTGCAGTTCTCAGCGCGGCCGCTGGGTGTCGGGCTGGCGCTGCGGGATGGAACGTGCAGTTCGGTGCTGATGTAGCGTCCCGGCAATGGGGACTTTGACTTGCGATTGGTTCACAAACCTTTGACGTTAACGGGGCTTAACCCCTGACGCTCTCCCCATGACAAACGTTTTGCTGTGGCAAGTGCAAGTGTGAACGCTGTTTTGTCCGCAGGAGCACGCTCCTGGGCTGCGTCTAGACTGGCATGATTTTGTGCATACTGTCTGCCGACAGTGGCCAGCACCGGGTGCCCCGGAGAGGGTGGACCAAAGACAATGATCAAGCGATTTGTCTCCTGCCATCCCTCTCCAGCCTCTGACAGACAGAGGCTAAGGACACCATTGTATCCCCTGGCTAATAGCCTTTTATGGACCTAACCTCCATGAAATTATCTAGCTTCTCTTTAAACTCTATTATAGTCCTAGCCGTCACAGCCTCCTCTGGCAAGGAGTTCCACAGGTTGACTATCCCTGAGCAGGAACTGAAACTGACCAGTGCCCCTCAATGCTGCAGGACCAACCCGGCAGTACCCGCTGAAACATCCCTGCTTATCCCTGAGCAGGAGCGTCAAAGTATTTGCACAAGAACCACTGACTTTTCTTGCGCAAATACTCACGGCCAGTCTAGACAGGTGGCAAGATTTTGCCAGCCTAGACGCACCCCTGCAGAAAAAGTGAAAGTCACTCTTGGGAGCTAGAAGTATTTTGCTGGTGAAAGTGTTGACCATGTTCACATGTGCTGACTTCCAGCTACAGGGCTGTGTCAACAGAGCCTTGTTGCTAAAAACTGCATAGTGTAGACAAAGCTGAGGTGTTAAAATGACACCCCTGTAAAAGACAAAAGTTTTGCTGACAAGAAGTATCAGTGTGAACAGCTCTTTGTCAACAGGAGCACTTTTGTTAAGAGTGAAAGTATTTTGTTGGCAAAAGAGCCAACAAATAGCAGCTACATTACAGCCATGATATTAGAAATCAGCAGTGACGCAGCCATGTTGCTAAAAGCTGTGTAGTGTAAACGAAGCCTTCTACAGCATCACAAAATGCTTTTGGGAAAGGAGAAAATGGAGCTTTCTAGTTGTGAGTTTAAAAAAGAAACTGCCTCAGGTGATAGCATTCCAATTACAGTAAAACTCCATTGGTCCGGCATCTGATGGTACGTGCTCTGGGCAGCCGGACCGTTGGAGCTGCTCTGTCCCCGGCTTCCCCGATTCAGCCACTGCTGAAACTGACCAGCGGCTGGATTT